TATTTCAGCTGATATCCCTTCGATCGCAGATTATTAGCTTAATTTGAGGCAAAAAATTAAGTAGTTATCATAGGACAAGAGAACACAAAGACTGACTTACCAGTTTTCTCCATTCCTCCATTAACCTTTACTTTTCGCATGCACAAATTCTTGCATATGCGCATGGATATGTTAACTTTTTTAGGGACTTCACGCTTTACGTCGATTTGGCCAAAAATTGGAAACAGGTAACTAGAAAGACACTAAGTCGACTCAATGTTAGCAGATCATCCAAGGAAACTCTAAGTTATCAAAAACAATATACTGCTGCAGCCCGGCAACCTATACATGAGCCTTATCACTCTGAAAACAATAAATTCACCAATAAGAAAGTTGTGGTGATCTATGTACCCCAACAGCGATCAAAATCTGCCGTTGGACTTTTCACACAACACAGATTAATAGATATATTCTATCTTAGTGCCATTTCAATCAAATTTGAGATAAACGAGAGGACAAGAGCAATCACGCGAGAAAGCACTTATCGGTGTTAGTGGATTAGATAGGATGTTGTTAACATAGTGGTGATATGGAAAGAATGAGAGTGTTGACCGTCAAGCATCGGTGGTTCAGTGGTAGAATGCTCGCCTGCCACGCGGGCGACCCGGGTTCGATTCCCGGCCGATGCATTTTTGGTTTTTGCGGCTATTCTTTCCACCTTATCCAGTTGTAACGTTCCCTTTCTGTATGCGCCGATAGAGTAACTGAGAGCACTGAAATGTAGAATGTCTTCGTTCATGCGCCCTTCAAACAAGCGCGGTTTCGAAAATGTTGTGCAGATAAAAACGGCCGCTTCTAACGGCAATTATAGTCAAGTCAGCTTCATCAGCTCTCCAAACGCTTGAGGCAAATCCTGAGAGGTTGAGGCGTTCGCTGTTGATGATTTCCAGACTTCACGCCATGCAGCCGATTCGAAAAGCTTATATTGCGATGCGAAGAATAGACTGAGTTTTTCCATGGCATCAACTGTTTTTAAAACTTGATAAACATTCAAACTACTTCAAAAAGAATGTTCAAAGTCCCAGTGGTACGCCAGGGAAACACACGCGTGTTTTGGAGGTCTCGCCCTCCTCGTCAGTGACCCACACCCCACATCAAGCCTTACACTGCAGCAAAGAGGGAGGCGTATGTGGTGACAGCACAGTCTACAATGACAGTGGCCCATCACCACTTCTCAGTCGATGAATCTCGGCTGCTAGAACAAAATTGATCCGTGGCTATCGACTATTTTTCCATGGCACTGGCATCGCGTGTTTGAAAAAAAGAGACTAAATTTTATCAAGTGTAGGAAATTACATGATATATTCGGCTACCAATGATTCGCACCAAATACTGAACATTTACATGCGTTTATTACGCATTTGTCTACAAAATACAAAAAACCAATTCCTAAGAGAATTGAGTGGTGGGCAAAAGCAGTGAAAAATACTAGACTTTTGGAGTATCAGATCTAACAGTGGCTGTCAGCTCAGCTGGGTTTACAAGGCAAAATCGCATACCTGACGAAACCTGTTAAGTTGGTAGCTGATAGCTAATATTGAGATGTTGAAGAGTGAGTGACACGGTTAAATGTTCCTCGGTGGTGTAATGCTAGAGCACTCGTCCCCGCATAGGATGAAGTGCGGGTTCGAGTTCCGCCTGAGGCAGTGTTTCTGGGCCACCACTCAATTCTCTTAGAGATTGGTTTTTTGTATTTTGTAGACAAATGCGTAGTAAACGCATGTAAATGTTCAGTATTTGGTGCGAATCATTGAGCCGAATATATCATGTAATTTCCTATACTTGATAAAACTTAATTTCTCTTTTTTCAAATACGCGATGGCCAGTGCCATGGAAAAATAGTCGATACCACGGATCAATTTTGTTCTACCAGCCGAGATTCATCGACTAAGAAGTGGTGATGGGCCACTGTCATTGTAGACTGTGCTGTCACCACATACGCCTCCCTCTTTGCTGCAGTGTAAGGCTTGATGTGGGGTGTGGGTCACTGACGAGGAGGGCGAGACCTCCAAAACACGCGTGTGTTTCCCTGGCGTACCACTGGGACTTTGAACATTCTTTTTGAAGTAGTTTGAATGTTTATCAAGTTTTAAAAACAGTTGATGCCATGAAAAAACTCAGTTTATTCTTCGCATCGCAATATAAGCTTTTCGAATCGGCTGCATGGCGTGAAGTCTGGAAATCATCAACAGCGAACGCCTCAACCTCTCAGGATTTGCCTCAAGCGTTTGGAGAGCTGATGAAGCTGACTTGACTATAATTGCCGTTAGAAGCGGCCGTTTTTATCTGCACAACATTTTCGAAACCGCGCTTGTTTGAAGGGCGCATGAACGAAGACATTCTACATTTCAGTGCTCTCAGTTACTCTATCGGCGCATACAGAAAGGGAACGTTACAACTGGATAAGGTGGAAAGAATAGCCGCAAAAACCAAAAATTGCATCGGCCGGGAATCGAACCCGGGTCGCCCGCGTGGCAGGCGAGCATTCTACCACTGAACCACCGATGCTTGGCAAACAACTCTCATTCTTTCCTATATCACTACTATGTTAACAACATCCTATCTAATCCACTAACACCGATAAGTGCTTTCTCGCGTGATTGCTTCTGTCATCTCGTTTATCTCATATTTAATTGAAATGGCACTAAGACAGAATATCTATTAATCTGTGTTGTGTGAAAAGTTCAACGGCAGATTTCGATCGCTGTTGGGACACATAGATCACTACAACTTTCTTATTGGTGAATTTCTTGTTTTCAGAGTGATAAGGCTCATGTATAGGTTGCCGGGCTGCAACAGTATATTGTTTTTGATAGCTTAGAGTTTCCTTGGATGATCTGCTAACATTGAGTCGACTTACTGCCTTTCTAGTTACCTGTTTCCAATTTTTGGCCAAATCGACGTAAAGCGCGAAGTCCCAAAAAAGTTAACATGTCCATGCGCATATGCAAGAATTTGTGCTGGCGAAAAATAAGGGTCAATGGAGGAATGGAGAAAACTGGTAAGTCAGTCTTTGTGTTCTCCTGTCCTATGATAACTACACAATTTTTTGCCTCATATTAAGCTAATAATCTGCGATCGAAGGCATCGTAAAACTTCGCAAATTCGAACTCCGTGTACTCAAGTTTGGACATCGTTGGCACGAATGATAGAGAGCATTCTCAAAATGAGAATCGACTATTCAAATAGCAGGTAGGATGGTTTCAATGTTATAAATTGTGATCGCACCGTGTTGCGTGGCAATACTCTGCACGATCCATCTTCATTTTTCTTTATAAATCCAAGCGTCCCTTTCATTTGATTAGTTTTATCGGGTCCACTATCCACGAGAGCCTCTAAATTTTTAAAGTGACTGTTCGGCTTGTATCTGTTTTTTATTGATTCATTCAATGCTGATCGAGTTGATTGTCCTTGAAGTTCTCGACCAGTCGGGCTAGAGCGCTTTAATCTGTATTTCAGAAAAATGTGTAGTTTACATGCAAGTCTGAGGCTGATTCGTTCTCTCGATCCGGGGAGAGTAATGGGCCTGGTGAACCCGTCATGACGGCGAACCGGCTGCGTGATCGTTATGAACGGCATCACTACCATTGCACTACCTTCCCCACTTGATCAACACGTAGATATACCAAGTCGGAAGCCCGAAGAAACAGAGTCGTTTATTATTCATGGAAATAAATTGGCAGCAAAGCTAATCGAAGTTTCCACTGGCATTCGAACTATAGACATGGATTGGACAAATATTTAGTTTAGCAGATTACAACGGCCTATCTATGAGTAGGACAATTATGACAAAAATTAAACACTCTGCATACTTTCAGCGATTGCTTTAGAATCTAACATGGCTATCAGATGCTTTGATTGAGAAATTTTCAATAATTGGAAGGATGGGTGCGATCAACTTTTTGTGTCAACTACTAGAGAGCGATTGCGTTGTTGCAGCAAACATCCAAAGAATCCAGCTATCGCCAGAGATGTGCCTACCTGCTAGAACGAAAACGGTCGTTTGCAAGCCGATAAAGTGAAATGTGCCAAAGCTGCTGATGGCACAGTGAGTGAATTTGAACTAGAATCGTCTAACATCCGCCAACAAGAGCCGCAGTCTAATCGATCTATAGTATAATAATATTTGTTCAATTGAAGACAATCAAGAAAGCCAATAAAGCAGGCTGATGCTAATAAATAGCGTAAAAATGCGCTAGGTCAATGAATGAAGTTGTTTCCCATTGTACACATTCACTCTAAAATTTTTTAAAGTTCTCTAATTCTAAATCAAATCTAAAATCTACAGAACTCTAAGGAGCGCTTAATTGAACGACATAAGTTTTTGAGGGAAATTCAATACGAAATTGGTAGCGAAACTGTATTCTCTGGTGAGAAACCATCCAATATATAACAGAAAGCTTTTATCCAGCAAAGTTATCTGCGCTATCTATCTATCGAAATCTATCTAATATTTGAATTCAAATGCTCATCAAGGATTCAAACTAGCCATACACAAAATCACCCATATTGTGGAAGATAACAGATATTTCAAATGACGTTCAACGACACTCCTTGTAAAGAATCGCTATTGCCGTTTTAGCACTACATCACGGGATACAAGATCAAGGAATACTGAAGAATTACATTCGACCGAACGATGATTTCGTAAAAGTAAAAAAGTTAATCCACTCATTGCTTACCAGAAATGGTAATAATCAATCTCAAGAGTACTAGGCAATATGGTCAGTCCTCATCGACCATTATTCCAATTGATAAAAGCAGTTAGAATGAACATGTTAGTTGAAAATTATGTTTTCTTGAGAGAGAGTAGACATTATTACAGCATTATTATTACATGGATAATCTTACTTGGACAAAAGACCTACTTTCTTCTCAGCTGCATAAAAAACAAAATCATTCCTACATCTACCAAACAGAAATTACATGAAATGTGCGGCTTACCAAATGATTCACACCAAAACTGAATATTCACATGCGTTTATTACGCATTTGTCTACAAAATACAATGACCCAATTGTTTTCACTTATAGGAAAATGCGTCTATAAACATTTGTAACGACATTCGATATGACCTAAGAGATAAGTTGCGAAGAAAATTTGAACACCTACTACAGGAGCGAAACTTAAATTCAAATTTAAGCTCAAAAGTATAAGAAAAAACCCCGCTTTTGGCAAGTTTGAAAGGGAATCTGAGGTAAAGGACACGCCAAAGCCCACCAAAGTTGCCATATTAGGAGGTAGTACTCTCACAGATAGTGCGCAATCAGTATTAGAATTCAACTCCTAATTTAGAACAGCTTTGCGCGCTATCGCTTGTAATTTGCACGTAGTCTTAGATGAGCTCCCATGTAAAGCAAACAAGAAAGGTTGGGTCTAGCACAACGTAGAAAGGCAATATTACCGCCACCTCTTTTTCCACGCACATTCTTCAAACAGCAACAACCTGATAGCGAAACTGGCTTAATTTTCCGTACATTTTCGGATGAATTTTTCCATGTACTCAATCGCTACCGACAGAACAAAGTCAGCTCCAACCTAACCAAGAAACAAAAACATGGCATGAAAGAGTCCAAGAGTCAATAAACTCATAGAACATCTGGTGGTCTATTAGCAATGAGGTTGAAGAATTCGTAGTTATTCGTCGTCAGTTGAATGGTGATATAACGGAGAAACATCTCCAAAATGCTTCTCTCTATCGACCCTTCCTCTGAAAAGGAATATAAATCACAACGCCGAAAAATGAATGAAGAATGGGTCAAAACGGCAAAAAGCTGCGGGCTTACAACAATTTCTTGTCCGACAATTAAATTAGATCACCAACTTGCTCTGTCTTATACACACTCATTATAACACAACGTTTCTACCAATGATTTTGGGTCTACCGATCTCTCTACGTTCAAAGTTTGACCAATCATTAGCTATGTAGGCGGGCCGACGGATAGGACCACATGGTTCGTTGGCCTCATATTGTCATAGTTATCAAAGTTCATACCAGCCAATCTCCCCAACGCCAATATATTCCTGAAAAGACCTCAAAAATGGGCGTCCAAATCATGGTTATGTTAATGGAGTTGTTTGATGTTACTGCGCTCTATACAAATGTCTCAAATGACGCCGCAATACAAGCCACTCATGAATTGCTAATAGAAAACATAGAAAGAATTGGATATGTTTGGCATGTCTGTCCAACAGCTTATCGCACCTTTAAGTCATGCCTAAGCTATTCGATATTTAGGTGGTCGGGAAAATATTTTGCACAAATTAGAGGGTTGGCAACGGGGCGAAGACTAGCACCCAGCTTAGCCATCGCTTTCATGTCAAAAGTGAAAGCTTCAGCTTTCCATCGGTTTCCAACACTCTATTGTCGATACATTGACGATTGTTTTGTCAACTGCTTTGCACAAGAGGAAATGGATAAATGCTTCGAACTTCTAAACGGACAGTCAAAGTTTGTTAAGATTACGCGAGAACACAACAGAGAGATGGCTTCGCTTCTTGTATGTTTGAGCTCAACGCAATGAAAGTGGCTGCAATACAAAATGGTATCGCAAGCTTAGCAATAAAAGCATCTTGTTGGACTATCTTTCTTCTCATCCCTCACTTACTAAAAACGCATTTATACGAAATATGCATCGGATTGCTT